GTTTTCCAGGCTTTGCTGATTGAGCAATTTATAATTGCAAGGCTGCATTTATAGGAACAGCAAAACTTTCTCCTCCAGGCCTAAGGCCTCTTCCACACAGCTGACTAAAATCCTACATTTTCTGCTTTGAACTGTAATATATTGCAGTGTGGACTCAGATAACCCAGTTCAAAGCAGATATTGTGGGATTTTCTGCCTTGATATTCAAGGTTATATGGCAGTGTTAAGAGTCTCAAGTTCCACTAGTCTAGTTTCTTATAACAGGATACATCTACATTGCAGAAATAATGCGGTTTGACACCACTTCAACTGCCATGGCTAAGTTCTATGGAATCTTAGGAGTTATAGTTTAGTGAAGCATTAGCTCTATTTGGCATGGAAGGGTAATGTCCCTATAAAACTACAAATCCAAAAATTCTATAGCATGAAGCCATGGCAGTTAAAATAGTGTCAAACTGCATTAATTCTACAGTGTAGATGTTCCCAGGGTTAGTCCAAATTATGTTTATGTCTGATGCAGAGTAGCAAACTATGCCACCCAACCAAGAGAAGGTGTATCCAAAGCAAGGCGTTACTTTGACATTGAAACTATCTCAAGTCCCTTTTCTCGTATGTTAGTTGTAAAAAAATAGAATGTAAATAATGTATTGTCAAAGGCTTTCATGGCTGGAATCACTGTGTTGTTTTCAGGCTGCATGGTTGTGCTCTAGCAGCATTTTCTCCTGATATTTCACCTGCATCTCTGGCTGGCATCTTCGGAGGATCCTGCAAGAGCATGGCCATACAGGAAACCACACAATTCCCCACAATATTAGCAAACTAACTGTGGGTAAGATGTTATATGAAAGTTATGCAGTGTAGCATTACATTCACAGTGTTATGTGATTTTTCTGCATTTTTGAGCATGCAAACAAATATGAAATGCACAATTGCAATGTGAAATACCCATCTCCATGTGGAAAATGCCATGGCACCAAATGTACAATGGTACAGTATACATTACTCTGCTTTTCCAAGCTTAGGACTCCTGAATTAGAGAAAAATGTCCAACAAAGAGGAATTTATGCATAAGTCACCAAGAGGTTGGCATCTGAAATGTTGCCTGTTCATGGCTCTCTACATATTCTGCCTGAATTGAGGCAACTATTGTACCAATTTGTGTGTCCAGTCCTTTCCTACAACCAGCATATGCTGGAATAGAGCTTGATTTTTTAAACTTTTTTGAAACTACAACTTCCAAAATCTCTCCGGAAGCATGGTCAATGATGCTGGCTGGTGGTTTGGAGGAGTCAGAGTTCAGGAAAAAAGGAACCTTAAAAAGGAACTTTAAACATGAGACTAAGCTACTGAAAGATGAACAAACTCTTACGGTATTAGTCTCTAGCAAGGGACGTGGGTCACGATGGGGAATATGGTGTGCTCCGAAAGTGCTGATGTCAGATAATCTAGTTTGAGCCAGTTTCCTAGTCGAAGGGAACATGATAAACCCAGGGTGTGTGCCTTGTGTAAGCTTTGTTTAAATGCCCCCCTCCTCCTTCCTTCCCTGACTTTCCCCACACTTTACAACCCCATATTATGCTGTCTCATGGTGAAGAAACAACCACGCTAAGGCTTGTGACCGTGACAAAGCACAAAAACGCAGACCCTTAACCTTTCATTACATTAAAACGGAGACGTGTGCATTGTCAGGCAACATCAAGCGTGTCGAAGAACACACAAGATAGGAGATTCTGCAACAGTGTGACTTTGCCTGAAGCCTCACCTACACAGCTGTATAAAATCCAGATTATCTGCTTCGAACTGGATTATTTCATAGAATCATAGAATCAAAGAGTTGGAAAAGACCTCATGGGCCATCCAGTCCAACCCCCTGCCAAGAAGCAGGAATATTGCATTCAAATCACCCCTGACAGATGGCCATCCAGCCTCTGTTTAAAAGCTTCCATTTGGCAGTGTAGACTCAGGCCCCTTCCACACATGTGTACAAAATCCACACTGAACTGGAATATATGGCAGTGTGGACTGAAATAACCCAGTTCAAAGCAAATATTGTGGGTTATTCTACCATGAGATTCTGGGTTGTATGGCTGCATGGAAGGGCCCTGAGTGTTGTGTGGTTTCTAGAACATGTATGGACATGTTCTAGCAGCATTTTCTCCTGGTGTTTTGCCTGCATCTGTGACTGACATCTTGAGGATCTGCCTAGGGCCCTTCCACACAGCCATATAACCCAGTATGTCAAGGCAGAAAACACCACAATATCTGCTTTGAACTTGATTATCTGAGTCCACACTGCAATATATTCCAGTTCAAAGCAGATAATGTGGGATTTTATTGAGCTGTGTGGAAGCGGCCTTAGACTTCCTTTCCTTATAAATTAAGTACGTACTTTCAGCCCTCTGTATCCACAGGTTCAACCATACACATACACACACACACAGAGTGTATACTAAAGTAAACCTTGCTTTTTGCTTACATGTGTGTGTGTATATATATAGAGAGAGAGGGGGGGTAAGTTTGTAACTTGGAGGGACTGCCTGTATAAAAGCAAGTGTATCTGTGAGAGTCTGTGTGTATGTCAGGGAATATATGTATATGTGAAAAAATGTGTATATGGTAGAGCCTATTTTAATGTGTGTCTGTCTTTCTGTGTGTGTGCAACTTGGAGGAAGTGTATTTTGCGTGTGAGACATGTTGTGTGGGTGAAAGTGTGCGTATGTGTGACTGTGAGACAAAAATATATGTTTGTGTACACGTCTGAGCCTGTTTTGGTTTGTATGTTAGCAAGCCTTTGTGCTAGAGAGAGAGAGAGGGCCGGGGAGAGAGAGAGGTGTTTGTGAGAGAAAGAAATTAGTGTGTCGGGTGCACGCCATAAAGCCCTGGTTGTGTGCAAAATACACACAGCACTAGCTCTACTTGGAGTGGAATGTATTTCAAGTATTGTTGATCAGCTCCATCCAACTGCTTTAGTATGGCTTTAAGGGCCCTTCCAGACAGCCCTGTATCTCATAATATCAAGGCAGAAAATCCCACAATATCTGCTTTGAACTGGGTTAATGTGGGATTTTCTGCCTTGATATTCTGGGATATAGGGCTGTCTGGAAGGGCCTCAAATTGCAGTTGCAATACCATAGTATGCTGATGCCAAAACATGTGTCATAGCTCAGTGTAACATACCACTACTTCTCCTAGGAGGGTCCTCCATGATGACATGATGTCAACAGTCTTGGATAGCAATGGCTCCCAAAGTGACCCATTGAAGGTGGAATCAGGTGTCAAACAGGGATGTGTTATTGCCTCAACCTTATTTTCCATCTTCATTGCTATGATACTTCATCTTGTTGATGGGAAACTTCCCACGAGTGTGGAAATAATCTATTGGACAGATGGCAAGCTATTTAACCTCAGCAGACTGAAAGCCAAAACCAAGATTACAACAACATCTGTTATAGAACTCCAGTATGCTGATGACAACATCGTCTGTGCACATTCCGAAAAAGACCTACAAGCCACTCTAAACACCTTCTCAGAAGCTTACGACAAGCTCGGCCTGTCATTGAACATCGAGAAAACCGAAGTCCTCTTCCAGCAGTCACCAGCCACTCCCTCTCCAATGCCAGAAAAACAGCTTAATGGTGTAACATTGACCATTTCCGCTACCTTGGCAGCCACCTCTCCACCAAAGTCAACATGGACACTGAAATTCAACTCCGCCTGACCTCTGCAAGTGCAGCATTTTTCCGAATGAAGCAGAGAGTGTTTGAGGACTGGGACATCCGTAGGGATACCAAGGTGCTTGTTTATAAAACTATTGTCCTCTCAACCCTGCTATACGCCTGCGAGACGTGGACGGTCTACAGATGTCACATGCAACTCCTGGAACGATTCCATCAGCACTGCCTCTGAAAAATCCTGCAAATCTCTTGGGAAGACAAGCGGACAAATGTCAGTGTGCTGGAAGAAGCAAAGACCACCAGCATTGAAGCGATGGTCCTCCGTCATCAATTCCGCTGGACTGGTCATGTTGTCAAGATGCCCGACCACCATCTCCCAAAGCAATTGCTCTGTTCCGAACTCAAGAACGGAACGGATGTTGGAAACCAGCCTGAGTCCCTAGAACGGAGGTGAGAAGACCGGTATACAAAACTGCTAAATAAATAAATAAAACAGAATGTTGGTCGGCAGGAAAAGAGATTTAAAGACGAGCTCAAAGCCAACCTTAAAAACTCTGGCATAGACACTGAGAACTGGAAGGCCCTGGCCCTTGAGCGCTCCAGTTGGAGGTCAGCTGTGACTAGCAGTGCTGCAGAATTTGGAGAGGTGCAAATGGAGGGTGAAAGAAAGAAACGTGCCAAGAGGAAGGCGCGTCAAGCCAACCCCAACCAGGACCGCCTTCCACCTGGAAACCTATGCCCTCACTGCGGGAAGAAGATGCAGATAAAGAATTGGGCTCCACAGCCACCTATGGACCCACTGCCAGGATACTACACTTGGAGGACCATCATCCTCGGACCATGAGGGATCTGTTATAGAACTCCAGTATGCTGATGACAACGTCTGTGCGCATTCTGAGAAAGACCTACAAGCCACTCTAAACACCTTCTCAGAAGCTTATGACAAGCTCGGCCTGTCATTGAACATTGCGCGCATCATTGCCCACCCAGACCAGGTGGAAGGCAGTCTTCTAGGATATGATTTACTCATTCCAGGCATGGGCAAACTTGGGACCTCCAGGTGTTTTGGACTTCAACTCCCACAATTCCTAACAGCCCACCGGTTGTTAGGAATTGTGGGAGTTGAAGTCCAAAACACCTGGAGGGCCCAAGTTTGCCCAAGCCTGGCTCAGAAAGAAATGCCCTTGAGGGTATGATAAGTCTATCTCCTTCTGATGCATCACTAGGGCCCAGAGCCAAGCAGTGGTTTGGGGCCCCTCCTTCCTCCTCCTCCTTCTCCCTTCCCCTCCTCCTCCTTGGGCCTCATCTGCGCCTGCGCACATCCCTCTCCTGCTTGGCCCCCTCCAGCCAGGCTATAAAAGGCGCAAGGCTCCTTTGTCCGGCAGAGCTGGGTTCTTGCTTCAACAGTGTTTGAACGGGACCTGGTCCAGCACCACTTCTTCGCCTTCTTTCCTTTCTTTTTTGAGCCTCCACTTCGGATCCTTCCCTGTTCCAGTTCGCAGGCAGAGAGCAAGCCATCCTCCGACTAACTCCCTCCAGCCTCCTCCTTGTCCAGACCGCCATGGAGTCCCAAATCCGCCAGAACTACCACCGCGACTGCGAAGCTGCCATCAACCGCATGGTCAACATGGAGCTCTACGCCAGCTACGTCTACCTCTCCATGGTGGGTTGCCTCTGCCCCATCCCCTCCCTCTTTCCTTCCAAAAGGAACTTTCCAAAACTCTGGAAAAGGGGGACACTGGGGAGGGAGGGGGAAGAGATCTGTATTGTAGCATTAATGCAGTTTGATCCCACTTAGGAAAGGAGATTCCATCTGAACATTAGGAAGAACTTCCTGACTATGAGAGCTGTTCAGCAGTGGAACTCTCTGCCCTGGAGTGTGGTGGAGGCTCCTCCTTTTGAGGCTTTTAAACAGAGGCTGGATGGCCATCTGTTGGGGGTGCTTTGAATGCGATTTTCTTGCTTCTTGGCAGGGGATTGGACTGGATGGCCCATAAGGTCTCTTCCAACTCTATGATTCTAGGAATCAGAGTTGAATACTCCACTCATTCTACTAAACATCTCCCAACTCCCATGATTCCATAGCTTCCAAGTGGTGCCAAACTGCATTAACTCTACAGTGTAGATGCACCAGGGGAGAAGTCAATACAGGGTCCCAGATGGTTAGATCTTCCTCTACTACCCAGTAATAACCCCTTGCTTACAGCAGTGTTTACATTTAGTTTGAGAAAGAGAAATAGGGTAAGAGGAGCAACTTCTTGCCTCTACAGATATTGTTGTTCCTCCTCTTCTTCTTCCCAGTCACGGAAGACCAAGTGGTGTCAAACTGCATTAACTCTACAGCGTAGATACACCAAGGGAAAGTCAATACAGGATCCCAGATGATGAGATCTTCCTCTACTACCCAATAGTAACCCTTGCTTCCAGCAGTGTTTACATTTGGTTTGAGAAAGAGAAATAGGGTAAGAGCAGCAACTTCCTACCTCTACACATGTTGCTTTTCCTCGAAAGATAAATAGGATAAAAGGAGCAACGTCCTGCCTCTACACATATTTTTGTTCCTCTTCTTCTTCCTCCCAGTCATGGAAGATCAAGTGGTGTCAAACTGCATTAACTCTACAGCGTAGATACACCAAGGGAAAGTCAATACAGGATCCCAGATGATGAGATCTTCCTCTACTACCCAATAGTAACCCTTGCTTCCAGCAGTATTTACATTTGGTTTGAGAAAGAGAAATAGGGTAAGGGGAGCAATTTCCTGCCTCTACACATGTTGTCCTCTTCTTCTTCCCAGTCATGGAAGATCAAGTGGTGTCAAACTGCATTAACTCTACAGTGTAGATGCACCAGGGGAACATCAATATAGGGTTCCAGATGGTGAGATCTTACTCCACAATCCAATAACTGTTGCTTACAACAGTGTTTACATTTGGTTTGAGAAATAGGGTAAGAGGAGCAGCTTCATGCCTTTAGACATGTTCTTCTTTCCTCTTCTTCCTCCCTTGCTAATATTAGCTCCTCAGTGCCCTACTTCAAGCAATAGCTCAGCATAAGAATAGAGAAGGCTTACAGAGACCTTACAACCTCTGAGGATGCCTGCCATAAATGCAGGCAAAACATCAGGAGAGAATGCTTCTGGAACATGGCCATACAGCCTGGAAAACTCACACTAACCCAGTGTTTCCGACCATGAAAGCCTTCAACAGTACAGAGAAGGCTTAGTTGTCAGGTTGTCCCTTTTTTATCCAACTCTCCAAGCATCCTTTATCCTGGTTGGTGCTTGGAAGGGAGAGCAGAACAAAAAAATAGGAGCTGTAGGCTATATTGTAGACCAGGCATGGGAAAATTCATCCCTACAGGTGTTTTGGAACCTCTACTCCCACAATTCCTAACAGCCTATCGGCTATTAGGAATTGTGGGAGTTGAAGTCAAAAACACCTAGCGGGCTGAAGTTTGCCCATGCCTGTTCCAGACAATGGCAACCACTTCTGCGTATTTCTTGCTAACTGGACTATATGAAATTAATGTACACATGCCCCTTCAAGTCACTTGTTGACTTATGGCAGGTCTATGAATTCCATAATGTTGTCTTAAGCTAGATGTGGCTTTGCTGGTTCCTGCCTCTGAAATATAGCCTACAGTATTAATTGGTGGTCCAGCATCAAAGTACTAACCAAGTCTGACCATGCTTAGCTTTCAAAATCAGACAGGTGCCATAATTAACAGGTGGCTTGAAGGCATATATACACCCATAACTAATTCATGGGCCCCTTGATGGTGCAGTGGGTTAAACTGCTGAGCTGCTGAACTTGTTGACTGAAAATTTGGAGGTTCAAATCTGGGGAACGAGGTGAGCTTCTGCTGTTAGTCCCAGCTTCTGCCAACGTAGCAATTTGAAAACATACTAATGTGAGTAGATCAATAGCTACCGCTTCTGCGGGAAGGTAACGGTACTCCATGTAGTCATGCCAGCCACATTACCTTGGAGGTGCCTATGGACAATGCTGGTTCTTTGGCTTAAGAATGGAGATGAGCCCCCCCCCCCCCCCCCGAGTGAGACACGACTGGACTTTATGTCAAGGGGAAACCTTTGCCTTTACTACTAACTAATTCATATCTTACTGAAATTGTTTACTCCCTTCCACCTCACCAACAGTTGCTTCTTTCAGCCCTGTTTTGGGTGGATCCACAAATGTGAGACACAAAGATAATCATGTGGGTTGGGGAGATAAATAATATATCCCATGACAGTACGTCTTCCATGCCTCCTCCCTCTCTAATCCTCCTTGTCTTGTCTTTTCTTCTCCCACGATAATCTCCATTTACCCCATTTCCAGTATGAGAAGGAAGATGTCTGTGTTTTCCTTGTACTTTTTGCTATTAAAAGAAATTATTAACTAACTAAAAAAACGCTTTAATAGGCTTCATCCTGATGTCCACTTCCCAGTGTCCATGTTTCAGAGGGACTCTCTGTGTGTATTTGGTTCCAAGGGTGTCTGTTGGCTTCAGTGGACATTACAAATTGGTTGCTGGGCTCAGGGTGCATCTACACCAGGCATAGGTAAACTTGGGCCCTCTAGATGTTTTGGACTCCAACTCCCACAATTCCTAACAGCCTCGGGCCCCTTCCTTTCCCCCCTCAGATGCTTAAGCGGCTGAGGGGGGAAAGGAAGGGGCCCAAGACTGTTAGGAATTGTGGGAGTTGGAGTCCAAAACACCTACAGGGCCCAAGTTTGCCCATGCCTGATCTACACTGTAGAATTAATGCAGTTCGACACCTTTTTAATTACCCTTGTTCAATGCAATTGAATTATGGGAGCTGAAGTTTTGCAAAGCCTTTTCTGCCAAAGAGCACCAGGGCTTCATCAATTACAACTCCCATTATTCCATAGTATTGAGCCTTAGCAGTTCAAAGCGGTGTCGAACTGTTTGTCATCAGAAAAATTTAAGGTTATGGAAGAAATCTCTACAAAGTTTTTCAGGCTGTATGGCCATGTTCCAGAAGCATTCTCTCCTGACATTTTGCCTGCATCTATGACAGGCATTGTCAGATGCAGGTGAAACCTCAGGAGAGAATGCTTCTGGAGCATGGCCATACAGCCCAGAAAACTCACAACAACCCAGTGATTCCGGCCATGAAAGCCTTCAACAATAAATCTCTGGAAACACTGAGAGATGTGTATGGCTTTCAAGATGTCCTGTGATATCTTGAAACCCACTGTCCTCCATTTTGTGCAGCTTTACAGAGCCTCGGGTTAATCGAGTCTTGAACTGCCATTTCTAGGACAGGTTTGTATTTTTTCTCCTTTGTCTACAACTTGTTACCATTGCAGTGTATAATCACAATGTCTCTTCCAAACAAGGAGGATGTCTAGATTTTGCCCTATTTTTATGCTGCGTTGGGTGCCATCGATCTGTAGATTCCTGATCATTTATGCTCTTCTAGTTTCAACTACTTCATCACACTAGAGAATGAATCTACTTTAAATCTAGTTTCTGCCTTCTGCAGAATTCTGAATTTTATAGTTTAGTGAGGCTGTTAAAGGCATCTCTCGGAACTACAAACCCCAGAATTCTGTAAGAAGCAGCAACCAGATCTAAAGTGGATTCATTCTTCAGTATGATGTGGCTGGGCAGAAGTGAATATGATAAACATGCAATTGGCAAAAGGCTGCCTCATATTTTGAATTGAGACACATAATTCTCACCTTTCAACCTCATTGTTTTTGTTTTTGCTCTAAACCTCTTGCAACAACAAGAGAAAATAACATTGTGTTCAAAATTACTGGTCCTGAGCACACAAACCAGGTGTTTGTGGTGGTAGACAATGGTTTCAAAATCTGCTTGCACAGCCTTTCCTGTTTTTAATGAGTCGTAATGTAATGAGTGCTTGAGACATTACTTTTGAGAAGAATTAATCTGTACATAACTCAAAAGCGTTAGGATGGTGCTCTCAGCCACCACATGTTGAATGGCGTTCTTGTTTTCTTTCGGATCTTCAACAAAACAAGCAGTGTCGGCTGGCTGGGAGCCATTTTGTGGTGACCCAGTATTTGGATTATGTATAAACAAAGCAAGATGTAGCTTAGGGTATCAGAATATGAACAAACGCCAAAGACAACAAAGCCATTGCCAATTTTACATAATGCATATTTTATGGGTAATTGCTTTGGGGGCTTGTTAAATTCAACATAGTTTATGGCTCCTGCATTTGTTAACCGAGCCCTGACTTGCACTGACCCAAGAGTTACGCAAAAGAACTTGGGGTTTTCCCAAAACTCTGGATTCCTTTCCCACCTCCTTGAAGTTTTGAGGCATTGCATGGACAACTTGTTCTCTTATTCTGTGGATACATTTCATATACCTCCTTCAGCTTCTGCTGTTGATATGGTCAGAAAACTTAATAAATCTGTCTATATACTGCTTCAGAACCTTTCTTTTTCAACTACTGTCTGCCCCCATGCTTCCTAGTTCTATAGAAATGCATCCATCCATGTAAAGGTTTCCCCTGTCATTAAGTCTAGTTGTGTCTGGGAGGTGGTGCTCATCTCCCATTTCTAAGCCAAAGAGCCGTCATTGTCCATAGACACATCCAAAGTCATGTTGCCAGCATGACTCCATGGAGCACCATTACCTTCTCACCTATTGATTTATTCACATTTGCATGTTTTTGAAACTTCAGCTCCCATAATGCAATTGCATTGAACCAGGGTAGTTAAAAAGGTGTCAAATTGCATTAATTCTACAGTGTAGATCAGGCATGGGCAAACTTGGGCCCTCTAGATGTTTTGGACTCCAACTCCCACAATTCCTAACAGCCAGAAGCTGGGGCTAACAATGGGAGCTCACCCTGTCCACATATTCGAACCGCCAACCTTTCAGTTAGGAAGTTCAGCAACTCAGCGGTTTAACCCGCTGCACCATCCATATACCCCTCCTTAATGCATCTTGGGGTTTTCAACCCAGGGTGGAATAGATTTCCTGTATCTGCTTTCATGAAGCAACAAGCTCCCCTGAGGACATGCTTCACCCAGAAATTGCCAAAGTTGCAACATGTTGCTTCGTGAATAACAAGGGAATAACTATGTTCCTCTTCCAAATAATTGGTAACAGTATTATTTTGTGTGTATGCAATAAAGTATTACTTTTAAGGCAAGGCTAGATAAATGCTTGGGGTGCATTTTGAAGGATTGTTTTAATCCAGATTTTAAGACTTTATTTCAATGTGAATTTTTATTAAAGTTATGAAGATTCTTGTTTACAGTTCTGTAATGATATTGTGGTGGGGGTAGTAGTATGTTACATAGTAAGTTGCATTTAAAAACTATTATCCAGACCAGGCATTGTCAATCTTGGGCCTTCTGGGTATTTTGGACTTTAACTCCCACAATTCCTAACAGCCTCAGGCTCTTTCAGGAAGGAGCCTGAGGCTGTTAGGAATTATGGGAGTTCAAGTCCAAAACACCCGGAGGACACAAGTTTGCCCACGCCTGAGCCAGACTTTGGGAATACAAGACATATTGTCATCAGTCTCTTCAATTGACAACCCAAATGTGGTTTTAATAATTTGGTCCCTTTTGAGAGAGTTGTTGATACTGCTACACAAAAAAATCAGTAACCTTTCTGATGTGGTACTAATCATCTAAAATCCACCAGTCAACTTCTCTCTGCTCATGTGGCCATTAGTCACCAATGCTATCTCTGCTTCCTATGTTCTCTTCCACAGTCATCCTACTTCGACCGGGATGATGTTTCTCTTCGACATGTTGCCGAATTTTTCCGGTCACAGTCACATGAGGAGCGAGAACACGCTGAGAAGCTGCTGAAGTTCCAGAGCCAGCGTGGCGGACGGGTTCTTCTGCAGGATGTCAAGGTATGCATTTGGGGAGGTTGAATGCCCTGGTTCTCCAGAACATGACGTTCTCCAGAGAATGGCAGCATACAAATAAAATCAATCCAGTAGGGAGGGGCTTCTTGGACTGCTTTTGAACTATAGAGATGACACCTAAACATTAGAAAAACTTTCCCGGCAACAAGAGCTGTTTTGCAGTGGAATATTTGTGCCTCTGTTGCACCAGCTCCACTGGCTGCCTGTTTGCTTCTGGGCACAATTCAAAGTGCTGGCTTTAGCCTATAAAGCCCTACACAGTTTCAGTCCACCTTACCTATCCAAATTTATCTCTCCTTATGAACCATCTAGGATGTTAAGATCTTCTGGGGAGGTCCTGCTCTCATTCCCACCTTCTTTGCAGATGGGGACGAGAGACAGGGCATTCTCAGTGGTGGCCCCTCGACTGTGGAATGCCCTGCCTAGAGATATAAGATTGGCTCCCTCCCTCCTGACTTTTTGAAAAAAGGTGAAAACCTGACTTTTTGAGCAGACCTTCCCAAATACGGCATAACTAAACAGAATTATGGAACTACTTGATAACACAATGGAATAACAATTTGACATGGAGATGCGCACAATAATGTTTTAAGGCTTTGTATTGTTTTTATCTTTTTTATATCATATGCTATTGTTTTTACATAATTTCTTGATTGTTTTTACTTGTTATAATTGTTGAGGCATCAAATTGTTGCCAATTTGCGAACCACTCCGAGTCGCCTCTGGGTTGAGAGGGGCGGTATATAAATATAGTAAATAAATAAAATAAATAAATATGCTGCCTCTGAGTGTGTAAGACTCTGGAAGATCTTGGAGTTGAAATCAAGCTCACAATAACAATATGCTGGAGACAAATGATTTATTTCCTTCCTCAGTCCCTGAAAGAAAGTTCTAAAGTTTCCCACTCAAACACCCTGTAATATAACAATGCAACTCCCATCCGCCCCCTAGTGGCCAGACACTGCGTGCACAGTCTGTTAACTGCAATTTCTATTTCCTTCACAAAACAGATGCCTTATTTACACTACCTTCCCTATACTCATCCTCCCTTCCCCCCACCTCCCTTCTCTATGACAGAGAACCAAAGCAGCCAGTTCCAGGCTAATACGGCAATCCTGACAGAGTGTGTTGGACTCCTCTCCTTTGGAGGTTTTTCAATCGAAACAAGATGGCCATCTATTGCTTTCTATTCCCGTACTTCCCCAGTTCCATCTCACTTCAAACCCTGCCTCTACCCATGGTGAAAGTCATTGTTCCAGAAGTTAAAACATCACTGAAGTCTTTTAGAGGAAGGTTTTATGAAACCAGATCCTTTGCTTTCTCTCTATAGAAACCAGAAAAGGATTCTTGGGGCAAAACTATTGATGCCATGGAGGCAGCCCTTCATCTAGAAAAGAGCGTGAACCAAGCACTCTTGGATCTGCACCGACTGGCAAGCGATCAAGGTGACCCACATGTAAGTATTGTGGCTGTGGGACTCATCTTTGGGTGTTAAAATCTACCTCTGAGATACCAAAAGGTAGTGGACTGCAGGGAAATGGATGCTGCTGGGCAATTAATAGTCCAGGCATCTCTGCCAGTTGTCTCTATTAGTAGTGGACTTCTTTAAGTCCAGTGTTCAACTTTTGATGCTGTAGATCAAATCCCAGAAGCCCAAGGGCCCTTCCACGCAACCATATAACCCAGAATATCAAGGCAGAAAACCCCACAATATCTGCTTTGAATTGGGATGTCTGAGTCTACATTGCCATATATTCCAGTTCAAAGTGGATAATGTGGGATTTTATTCAGCTGTGTGGAAGGGGCCAGCTGTTCCCGTGACCAGGGAATCTGGGAGCTCAAGTCCAAAATATCTGGAGGGCTGCGGGTTGTGCAGGTCTGCTCTAGAGTTTTTGGACTTCAGATCCCAGAAGCCTCAACAAGTATGTGCAATGATCGGGGATTCTAGGAAGTGAAATCTTAAAATATCTTGAGGCCAAAAGGCAGAAAACCACATCTGTCATCCAGGCCAGGGATGGTAATTCTGTGACCTTTCAGATGTTGTTGGACTCTAAATGTTATTAACCCCTATCAGCATGACTGGAGGAATGATAAGGGAAGTATGCTTAACAACATCCAGAAGACCACCGTTTTCTTATCCTTTCTGTAAGACACAGATAAAGAAAGCTATTCATGTCATCCTCCCAAAAAAAAAACCCTGCAATGGCTTTTATAGAAATTCTGGATTACCCCTAATTCAGTGTGTCTTGGGGACTCAGCAGTGGGAGAAAACACATATTTGTTTCTAATCACAGTAGCTTGTTGGGTTGTCCACTAAATGTGGATTTTTGTTAATGACATCTCACTCCTTCTTTGTTGCCAGCTGTGTGACTTCTTGGAAACACACTACCTCGACGAGCAAGTCAAAGCCATCAAAGTCCTGGGTGACTACATTACCAACCTTCGGCGCCTGGGAGCAGACCAGAGCGGGCTTGGGGAATATCTCTTTGACAAGCACACCTTGGGGGAGAGCAGCAGCTGATTGTGTCCCCCGTTCCTGTGAGCGCTCCCTCCGTGAACCCACAGAAACCGACCCATTTCCACCACCGTTGCCGTGCCCCAGTCAAGCGGGGATGTACCTGCCATCTCTCAGTTGGCATGCTTCCAATAAACAAGGGTTCACCAGTTTAACATGTGTCTTTTATTTGTTACTAGCTTGGGTTCCTGGTACTGCCCAGGTTATCTGAAAGAGTCATTTTTTTAATTGTACACAATGCATACAGTTGTGGGTGAACCACAACTCACATCATGCCAGGTTAACTCTGAGAAAAACTCCATCAGTACTTAAAAGTTTGTTATATTGGGCAGGTTTGCTCCAGATGCATCATTGATAGGGTTCAGTGTGCTCTCTGGCTGTAGGGTAAACTACAATTCCCACTATGGTGAGTCAGTCCCCTCAAACACCTCCAGTAGGTTGAGTTAGTTATGGGGGGTTCTGTGTGCCAAGTTTGGTCCAGGTCCATCATCGGTGGAGGTCACAGTTTCTCTGGTTGTGGGTGAACTGCAACTCCCAAAAAGGAAGGTCAGTTCCCCCCAAACCTCTCCAGTAATCATATTTCTGCATAATAGGTATGTGTGCCTAGTTTGGTCCACATCTGTTGGTGTTTGGGTTCACAGTGCTCAAATAATAATCATAACAATAAAACTTTATTTATACCCCGCCACCATCTCCCCAAGGGACTCAGAGCGGCTTACATGAAGCCAAGCCCAACAACACATTGGTAAAAACAGCAAGCAATAAGCAAATAAACAATACAATTAATATAACTCACATATAGTCAATAACACACAAAGATTTAAAAACCAATGGCCGGGCCAGATGTAATAGTTAAAATTTAAAAAATAAAACGCTGGGCATGAACAGAGGTAGGATGTATCTAGTAGGAGGGTTTTAAGCGAATGTAGGGAGAGCAATCCAACGGGTAATTAAAGTGATTCTCAGGATATTTTGTTATTCTCTACATGTAGGTGAACTACAGCTCCTATAAAAACCTCCAGTATTTTTGTTGGTCATGGGGTTGTGCCAAGTTAGTTGCAGGTCCATCATTGATGGAGTTCAGTTTGCTCTTAGATTGCAGGTGAACTATACATCCCAAGACCTACAACTCCGATAAATTATTGTTAATTTTCTCCAAACCCCTCCAGTATGTTCAGTTGCTGATCAATTCCTCTGTTTGCTGTGTGCCATACAAAAGAATAGGAAAGGGTTAAGGGAGAGACAGTGGGCGGGGTCATGCAATTTCCACACCAATGGAGAGAGTAAGAAACACTGGGATGTCTGTGGTGGAGGAAACATCAAATCTAGGATGAAATTGTCCCAGTATGAAAGCCTTTACTTGGGTGGTGGGCAGTATGGTGTTTGGGGAGGACATTGTCAGGAGTCTTGTACATGTTCATGGCGCTAACTATAACCTGCAACGTCATTGCAGGGAGGGCCATTGGTGTCTCTTGAGTAGTGGGAGCTATAGGTGTTTGTGGAGGCAAGAGTTTGTCTGTGTTTTGGACACCCCAGCCACACACACACACACACACATAAATAGGAGTTTTCACTTTAATTATGTGTATAGATTTTTATGTTTGTTTTCAAGAGTGGTTATAAAAATGTAAGGAGCTTTACTTTTTGGACGTAGGGGTTGGCTAACTCATTGCCCTCTATAAGTATGTTGTTGTGCCTTCAAATCGATTCTAATTTATGGCAATTCTTATTTGAGAGTTTTCTTGGGAAAATTGATTTGTCATTGCCTTCCTCTGAGGCTGAGAAAGAGTGACTTTAAGGTCATCCAGTGGGTTCCTGTGAGTGATCCTAGCCTCCTGCAGTCCTAATTCGACACTCAAAACCACTACATAATATCGCCACATTTAAATTTAGTTGGAATACAATTTATGTGATCTCTCATAATTGTCCGTAATGATTGAGGATAATGGGAGCTGCAGTCCACAATTTGCCCACTTCCTGACTGAAATTCAAAATTTGACAACTTTCTTCAATGGTGTCCTACTCCCAGCCAGTCCAAAATCTCTGGAGTATTAAGTTTGGGAATACTGCTCAGTGTGGTTTAGGGTAGGTAAATTGAGAGGCTCCAGAATCATATCATATCGGACTATAACTCCTGTCAATCTTACTAACATAGCCAAGAGAGGAGTGTTGGAGCTGTCATACACCATTATTCTGAAAACTAATATTCTGTCTTGAGAGAGACTTGGGGATAGAGGAAATCCAATGGTTTTGAATCACTCACCCATCATCACTTCATCAGTGATCATGCTGGCTAGTGGCAATGTGAATGTAAGATTTCCCTGTATTGCTGCAATTGTTATAAGCTCCAAATTAGATCTTGGCCATCTTGCCTCCAGAAGAAAATGGAGGCAAACTACTTTTGAAAATACATATCACTCCACCCATGGTTGCATTTGAGAGATAACAGTCCTGCAGTAGCTTACTTCAGTGGCTTCTTACCCTGTTCAAGAGATGATACAACACATAGTGGAAATCAGTGCTGGCTTTCACCAAAACAGCTTCAAAAGTGAGAAAATAGTCATAAACCCAATAATCTCGCAATAAGACAATGGTTGATAGAAGGGATGCAACTCTCCGTGTGTGTGTGTGTGTGTGTGTGTGTGTGTGTGGCAAAACAAGGCATACATAGACATTGAATCACTGAGTGTGAAGCAACCACAAGGGCAATCCAGTTCAACCCCCCTCCCTCCACAACTCAGCGTGCAGGAACACAATAAAAGCACTCCCAAGAGATGGCCATCTAATGTTGGCTTAAAAAAAATGGAGAAGCCAATCACCACCCTTTAAGCCAACTTAAGGTAGGGAAAGGTTTTCCCCTGACATGAAGTCCAGTCGTGTCCAACTCTGGGGTGTGGTGCTCATCTCCATTACTAAGCCGAAGAGCCGGCGTTGACCATAGTCACCTCTAAGGTCATGTGGCTGGCATGACTGCATGGAGCGCTGTTACCTTCCTGCCAGGGGAAGGTAGGATCAATAGGAGCTGTACCTATTGATCTCTTCACATTTGCATGTTTTCGAACTGCTAAGATGGCAGAAGCTGGGGCTGACAGCGGAAGTTCATACTGCTCCCCGATTCGAATCTGCAACCTTTCGGTAAACAAGCTCAGCAGCTCAACAAACTCAGCAGCCTAAGGAGCCCCAATGTGCCACCAGGGGCTCCTTAAGCCAACTTACTCCACTCAAAACTTCTTAATGTTTAGGTGGAATCTCTTTTCCTGGAATTTGAATTCAGTCCTCCATGCAGCAGAAACCAATTTGCATGTATAGTTCCATAGTGTTGCAACTCTTAACAAAATGGCATGGCACAACAGAGATTCCTGCAACGCTTCCTGGCTTAGTGTAGCATAGTAGTTCCACTTGTGGATTATGTTATGCTAAGCTATTTATCCCCCTTCCAGAGTTATTGCACAATGGCTGAACTGTGCCTTATGGCTATTCTGTATCTGATGAAGCATTGCAGGGGTGTCTGGCCATTGTTGGGTCCTCAAGAGGTTAGTCAGATACCTTTGTGATCTCCCAAGCCTCACATCTAGCCACAGAACTTCCCCTTTTAAATAAGGGACACCACTATGGTAGAGTCTAAAGTTTTTGATGGGATCATGATTTCAGTGACAAACCTGCCCCTTTCTTTTAGGTACATCTACACTGTGGAATTACTGCACTTTGACACCACTTTAACTGCATGGCTTTTTTTTTTTGGTCGTGTCAGGAGCAACGAGAAACTGCAAGTCGCTTCTGGTGTGAGAGAATTGGTCATCTGCAAGAACGTTGCCCAGGGGACGCCTGGATGATTTTGATGTTTTTATCATCCTTGTGGGAGGCTTCTCTCATGTCCCCGTATGAGGAGCTGGAGCTGATAGAGGGAGCTCATCCGCCTCTCCCCGGATTTGAACCTGCGACCTGTCGGTCTTCAGTCCTGCCAGCACAGGGGTTTAACCCACTGCGCCACCGGGGGCACCAACTGCATGGCTCAATTTTATGGAATCACATGTAGTTTTACAGGGTTATTCATTTTCTATGTCAAAAAGTGCTAGTGACTCACCAAACTACAATTCCCATTATGCCACAATAGTGAGCCATGGCAGTTAAAGAGGTGTGAAACTGTATTAAATCAAGAGTGTGAATGTACCCTGAGGCTTCATTTCTCTCTCTTAGGCACACCAATAATCTAATAAACTATTGTACTTTCCTTTATGGTTTACATATAGATGATCCTTAATATCATTTCTTTTACAGCGCATTGTGAACTATTCCACTTAGAAAATACTTATATTGTCACTTGAAGTATGATTACTATAGCCTTCTCATATCTTCTCCCTCTCACCTACTGGCTATCTTTCTTTTATGGCTTGTAAAAGAAAGTGTGAACTTAAAAGCTCCATTTTAATTTTGTTTCCCAAAGAACAACGGAGAAAGAAATGTAGTCCTTTACAACATTCATATTACATGTTTTTCCTTTAATGATCTTTGAGTTCATGGAAATGTAGGTGCACAAAGAGTCATGTAGGTCACAACATAACCAGATGAAACCAAACTGCACAAAGGCACCTTGACAATAGTCAATGAATAATTATAGGCATATAAATAAATACAATTGGTATTGGCAGTATTTAGGAGCAGGTGATCCAAAGGATTATCTGGGATGTTCTATTTGGGAGATGGAAGGTTGATAAAGCTGCCTAGTTTTCATCTGTACTGGAGAATTAATGCAATTTGACACCTCTTTAATGACCAACATTCAATGTTGTGGAATCATGGGAGTTTGGTCTGTCACCAGCACTGTTTGACAGAGAAGGCTAAAGACCTGTAAAACTACAGATCCCAAGATTCCACTGCTTTGAGCTTTGACAGTTAAAGTGGTATGAAACCACATTCATTCAATAGTGTAGATACACCTACTGTATAATCTATTTGCTCGTTCATGTGCTACTTGTTCTGGTTCATATAACATTGATGAGGAAGAATAATAGATGCCATGGGACTAAGCCTGGAATGTATTTACAAGCTTTCAGAGTTTAGAAAAATCCCAGAAATCCTACTACTACAAATTCTCATTCTGACACTCATCAAAATATAGTTAGCTGCCCTTATAGTTGCTTTTTAAAAAGTCATT